CCCCCCCCCCCAAATCCCGGACCCCCCAACAGGGATCGGGGATCCAGGGACTGCGGCAGCTCGGACAGGAAAGGCTGAGGGAGCTGGGCCTGCTCACCCTCGAGAGGGGACCCCATCCGTGTGGAGGGGTCAGAGGAATTGATCCCATCCCATCCCATCTGCTGAGGGGCGGGGGCACAGGAGGAATTGATGCCCAAAAATTTCCACCCGGACATGAGGAAGAATTTCTTTGTCGTGCAGCGACCGAGCGCTGAACAAGTTGCCCAGGGAGGGTGTGGAGTGTCTCCCTCACTGGGGATATTCCAGAACCGTCGGCACGCAATCCATGTGCTCTGGGGTGGATCCCTGCTGGAACAGGGAGGGGGGACCAGACGGGACACTGCGGTCCCTTCCAGCCTGGCCCGTCCTGTGAGGACCCCAGCCCGGCCAGGTCCTTGCGCACGAGAGCCCCGCGTGGCCGCTGCCCTGTCCCTTCCCTTGGCACAGGCAGGGGACAGAGCTGATAACAGGTGGCAAGGACGAGGCAAAGCGCTGCCAGCGCCTTTCCTGCCTGTCTGTGACCTTTCTCTGCCTGTGCTGCAGACATAGGATGGATTAAAGAACCACCCCTCCTCCTTCTTCTTTTTTTATCTTTTGTGTTTTATTTGAACTTTGAGGCATTACGGGGTTGGTGCAATTTAAGTGGGATAAGTAACACAAGTTTAATTCCCGATGCTGCTGGATTTGGTCACCTGTGCAGGCTGATCCTGGTGGAGCCCAGGGGGTACAAAAGCCCAAGGACCTGCACAAACAGCTTTGGGGGCTCTTCCAGGAGTCTTCAGGCAGGGCCCATCACTGCTAGCCCTTCCAGGGACAGGGCAGCCACAGCTCCTCCTCATGGGGAAGCAGGGTTTTCCTGTATCATTTATATTTTTGGGTTCTTTATTCCTGCACTTCAGAGCCCACCCTGGCTCTGGGACAGCCTCGGGCTCACAGACACTTCAGCAGCAGGAGTGGTGATGGAACAGTGAGTTCCCTGAGCCACACACTCCAGGGCCAAACTCCAGGCAATTTCTTTTTAAGATGCATTTCAAGACCGAGGCAGTGTTAGAGAGTGCGAGACTGTGCTCGAGCAGGAAACTACACTGACTTGGGAGCACGTGGGGGGATATGTGCCTGCTGCAGGCAGGAATTACACAGCCAGAAAATCTGATTTGGGGCTTTGTAGCTAATGAAATTACTGGGGGAACAGACCGTGTTCTCACATCCTTCCATCCAGACCAAACCTGGAAAATTCGGGCATGGACACTTTTATTTATAGATACAAACGTGTCTTTTACATAAAGAATCTTCCTCTGGTGAAGCATTTTTGTGAAGGAGCTAAAAGAGAAAGGTTGTCAATCACCTCCAGCCCCAAATCCCAGCTCCTGCAGAAGTGAGGGGGAGTGCTTGGCTTGCTGAGGGATTGGTCCCAAATCACTGATAATAACCACATACAGACCTTACAAAACCCGGGATTACGACAGGTGCTGAGTTCATCCTCGCTGGTGCTCCCAGAGCTCCAGGCGTGCTAAAACCTGCACCTGCACACTGCCTGTCTGCCCTGCCCAGTGCTCCCAGCCAGGCACAAACACTGGGGGGGGGAGGGATTGCTTCACACCCCGAAATCCTGCGGCAACGCTCCCATCCGAGGGCAAAGAGAGGCACGAACACGTGAAAAAGAGCAAGTTATTAAATACATCAACCTGAAAAAAAACCCATGGGTTTGGAAGGTGATTTTTTTAGGCTATGAAGATGGTGAAGGGTCAGGGGAAGCCACGTGAGGAGTGGCTGAGGGCACTTGGTGTGTTCAGCTGGAGCAGAGCAGGCTGAGGGGAGACTCACCAGGGGCTGCAGCTCCTCCCGAGGGGCAGCTCCGAGCCCTGCTCGGTGTGACAGGAGCCAGGGAACAGCTGGAGCTGTGCCAGGGGGGTTCAGGTTGGATCTCAGGAACAGGTTCTCCCCCCAGAGGGTGATCAGGCACTGGAACATCACATCAGAGGGCAGGACAGTTGTTTATAGCCTGTATACGTATAGCAGAGAATAGATTCCAAAATATTCCATATGTTATTTTACACAAGCAAATAAAAGCTCTGGGCTTTATCTTTCCCACCTGCTCTTCCCACTGAATCCAGCGAGAAAATCTCACCTCACAGTGAAGAGGTGGTGGTGGGACACTCCCTAGAAGGAAATGTGATTTCAGAGCAATTACCATATGTGATTTGGAATATATTGCAGGGTAAGGAATACCCAGCAATGACTACTGGCCATGCTGAATCAAATCCCATATTTAGGACAGCTGGGGGGTTTTGCTGTGACTTACACAGGAGCAGAAATGATTCAAAATGTCCCTCGATTCTTGACTGAAATAGTTGCAAAGGATTAGGTAAAAACGTGTTCAAGGTTCAAGTTCCTTCACAGGAAGGGCTGTCAGGCAGCACTGATCTGTGTTTTAATACAAACACACAGATTCACAAAGTTCAGACCCAAACTTTCCAATAGTTTTACTGGATTTTGAGTCATAACCACATTCTGCTTTGGACAAGGGGTGGTTAAATCCACGCCTTTTCCTATCATGCCCGGAAATTGGACACAGGACATTATTTACTATCATTCCATGACTTACAAGCACGTGCTCTGTGAACACGTGCCACTCCGTTTTCTCAAAACAAGGAAGTTTAGCCTTAGCAAAGCACGTAAATAAACTCCAAAAAAAAATACAGGGAAATTGATTTTTACCTTTCGTGACGCCAAATTCGGGTTCCGCCTCTCTCCCCCAGGCTCTGATAACGTCCCCAGGGCAAACACAGGGCAGATCATCCCAGGTGAGGGGGGTGGGTGACACATCCAGCCTGGCACTGCTCACACCCTGGCAGGCAGGTAATGGAGAGAAAGGTCAGATCCCTTCCTAAAGAAAAATCATGGTTTAGCTGCTTTAAAAAAAGCCTTAGAAAGGGAATGTTAATCTTCACAATGCTCATTCTGCCTGTTTGCAGGGACAATCACTCACACACCACCACATTCTCTCCAGGTGAGCTGCCATCGCTGACACAATCCACGAGATGGGCTGTTCCTGGGCCCAAGTACCCCTTCCAGCTCCAGGAAGTGCCCTAAATCCTCCTGTAAAGCTCCAAAGTCTCAGCATTCCCAGCCCAGGAAGAGAAGCTGCAGAACAAATGAGAAAGTGAAAGTGAATATCCAGTAACGGTACGGGGAAAAAACGCATTAAAAATAAACATTTAGTTTGTCATTATTCATAATCTGATTCTCCTTCCAATATTTTTGCATTTTTACAGGGTGAATTTTGCGTTCCTAAGGATTTCTATCTTGAGCAAATTGCATAAAAATTAATGAGTATAGAAATACAGCCTAAGAAAAGGATACTGAAGTGAAGTGTATGAAGACAAATTTATCAGGAAGGCCTCTTGGGCATGGAGTAAATCCAATGGTCCTCACATCAGCTGTGCTATTGGAGATTCCCAAACTACCTTATCTTTTCACACCTTTACTACAGTGGGTTTTGGTGTTGGTTTTTTTTTTTTTCAATTCTACTCTCGGCTTTTCAATTTTAGATGGAAAAAAATCATTGAACTAAAGCAGCCGAATACACTGAAATAAAAAACCTGCAAAAGAACGCAAAGAGAATGTTTTACACCACCTGATAGATGGTAAATATTAAATATTTATACTGAAATCCATCCTGACCCACCATGAATATCTGAACTAAACAGGCATGCAAAACAAACACTGACACACAAGCCCTTGAGGCTCCCCATTTGCTCTCGTTTTAAACTTAAACATCTTAAATTAAGTAATATCAATGCTTATGGAAAAGTTTTCTGGAGTCTCTGGAGTCTCAGCCACTTGAAATGTCGGCGGTTATTTGTAACTGAACAGAAATATTTTATCCTTCTGTGCTTGGGGACACAAACCTGTGGTTATTCAGCATTTCAAAGCCGCAAGCTCCGGAGGAAAAGGCGATTTCCATCGCCCCCGTGTGTCTAACGCAGAAAACGCCAAAAAAAAATCCACCCCACAGCCTGGAGAAATCCCAGCAGGACTTTGTGATTCACCTGCAGACTGATAACGGTCTCACTTATTTCTGTATGTGTGGCCTCTGGGTTTGGTGGGCACAGGTGCCCCCCAGAGCTGTTGTGTTTCACCTGGGGCTCAGCCTGGGCAGGGAAGCACAAGGAAGCACAGGGAAGCACACCTACCTTCATTTCCTAAGCAGTTTTAGGCTTTATCACTCACCAAAAAGCCCCAGGTGGTCCGGGCCCAGCCTGCCTGGCATCACCTCTGCCCGTGCCAGAGCTCCGGTGGAAATCCCACCAGCACTCGGGAGATAATCCATCCCTTCACCCTCCAAAAATCACACAGCCCTCAATTGTTATGGTGACTTTTCAGGAAGAAATGACTTAATCCTGTGCTCCCCACCCCATTGAGTGAACTGCTGAGGTTGAACAGTCGGACTCTACTCCCACATCTCACTGTGACTTGGGATCAAGTCACTGAATTTCGGTTTATCCAGTTCCCTGTCCCCCAGCTCCAACACCAGCCTGGAGTGGGACAGGAGGGCCCAGCCCTGAGCCCTCTGGATGTCACACACACAGAGAACAAACACCTGAGAGCGTTTCATTGGCAGAAACTATCAGTAAATCATTTCAAAGAGCAGGTGAAAATGACCTCATTTGTTAAAACCTCTGAGTGGCAGCATGTGAACTTCTTGGAGTGTAACTGGAGTGGCAAATGTGCTCCAGTGGGAGGCTGGGAATTAAACTGAGACCCTTTGGAGCCATTTCACACGTGCCATTGAACAGCCACTGGGTGGTGGCACCTTTAGGCCTCTGCTAAGCTGGAAACCATTTGAACAGACTTCAGAAAAAAAGACATTTTTTATCACTGCTCCCTCCAGGAGCCACCAGGGGTCTGTGCCTTCAGTCCAGTTCAGCCAGGAGATGTCACACCAAAAACTACTGATCTGAAAAACCTGTAAGACTCCACGAATTGTTCAATGTTCCTCGTGAATATTTTTCCTTCCCTTGCCAGAGGCAGAATAGCAAGACCTTACACAAAAATATCCAAAGCCATGGTCATCCATGGCTGCAGGTCTCAGAGAACCCTTTTCACCTGAAAACATCCACCACCTTTCCCTCACCTCTTCCTGGGAACAGCAGGAGCCAGCTGTTCACCCATATGTTGATTCCTTCCATTAACCACCCAGAGTCTTAATTCCCAGATGCAGGAAAAACCTGTTAGCATAAGCAATAAATATTTCACTGACATTCCAAACTCTGCCTCTCCCAACTTCTAATTTTTTTTCCCATAATTTTTCACGTGCATTTGGAGCCTGGGCAAAAGGAAAAGGAAATAAATTCCGGTGTTTTTAGTCTTGCTGTTAAATTCCAACAAGGAACTTAGGTGGACAAGAGGGAAGGGCTTCAAACTGGTAGAGAGGAAGGTTAGATCAGATATTAGGAAGAAATTCTTGGCTGTGAGGGTGGTGAGGCCCTGGCACAGGTTGCCCAGAGAAGCTGTGGCTGCCTCATCCCTGGAGTGTCCAAGGCCAGGTTGGACAGGGTTTGGAGCAACCTGGTCTAATTAACAGCTAATCTAACCCTGCCCTCCTTTACCTTAAGGTTTTGTGTAAGCATAAACCCAAGCATAAATATTTGAGGTCCCTGAAATACCAGTTACATCGCCAGCACCAGGGCACCATAAGCACACAGAGAATCACTTACTATTTGTGTTAAACCCCATTTTAACTCAGCATCACTGTCACAATTGCCCCAGGCTCCCCTTGGGAACACAGGGCAGCACACGAGGCCTCGTGGAGGTGACAAGGGACAACACGAGGTGTGAGAGCCCCTGTGCCAGGAGGGCTGTGCAGGCTGCCTAACAACAACAGTTATGACTATTTCAAACAAAGCAACCAGATAAATCGTCCCCCAGCTTTGGGGGTTTATGCAAGACTGGTTAAACCCTGTTCAGGTCCCTCCACAGCCCAAGCCCACGAGCACCTGGCTCACACAGTGCAACGGGAAGCAGCAGGGATGGCACTGGAGAGCCCTTTCCCCACGAAAATCAGCCAAGATTTCCCTTTGCTACCTCGGGAACTGCAAGGACGAACCTGAAAGGGTGAATAACCGTCAGGAACCATTGGAAGCCGGGGGTAGTGACTGAGGG